AACTTAAATTCTGGGTCGGGTTCGAGGCTCTGCAAGAAAGAAATGTGAGCCCGTGCCGTATCTCTCAACTTGGACAACAAACCGCTTTGTAATCTTCGAGCTTCACTGTGGCAGAAACCCAGTCGCATATAAGCTCTGCATAGCTTAGCTTCCAGTTGTGCCATCTGAAGCTTTCTTCGACATTGGGATGGCTGGTCTCCAGCAGATTTCCAGGCTTAGCAACGTACCGCATGAGCTGGAAAAGCTCAGACGTCTATTAAGGGCAATAGTCAGTATCTCGGTTGCATGCAAGACAGGGCTTGCAACTGACCCTCAATGCATTGCGGAAGTCCTCCGAATCATATTGTTCTGGTTTTAGACGTCTCATTGCAACAAGATCGTCGACAACATGCTTTGGGTCTCGTTTATCGTGCTACATACAGGCTTTCAATTTCGCAAATTTGTAGATGAAAATTATACACACGCACCAGAGTATTACCGAAAAAGAATTGTTTGAGGTTTTCCGCCCACAAATGAGGCAGCTCGTGTACTTCAAGATGGGTTGGAAGACTGGTCTGGGTCGGCGAAACACGTGCACGACGAACACGTTGGCGACACGCAACAAACTCCGGAAGATCGTATGGAGGTTCAGGTGTATTGGTGTCATCGTCTTCGTCAAGGTTTTCAGAAGGGATGTAGTCACCGCTGGTATCGTTGTCCTCGGTGTTGTCCTCGGTGTTGTCCACATCCATCCTGCTTTCATTCTCTTCATCCTTTTCCTCATCATCTTCTTTATCCTCATCCTCTTCATCCTCCCAGGCAGAATTATTGTCATCTTCCTCGATACTACACTCAAATGGATCTCGATCAATTTCGTGGTCCCAGTTGAATTCTGGGGGAGATTCGGCTTCATCCTGAAAGGGTGAGATTCAATGAGTTTAGTTAGAGGGAGAACTGAATGAGCTCACGTAGATGCGAAAGTATTTATGGAAGTTGGCCATTTGGGCTGTTTCAAGGAGCTTGTATGCCAGTTCCTCGCCATCGCGTCGACCTTGGTGTAAATAACGAAGGAAAAGAACATTGAGGAACAACAGCCAGCTGTTGCGAACAGCATCAACAGGCATATTTTCCACAATGGCAGCTCCAAGGGTGAAGATAAGCCAGTCGTCCAGAAGCACAAGCTAATAATCAGATTTTAAAAGTAACATTATTCCGAGCGAATGAGCCATACATTGGTATCAGGATTCCATTTACTGGCAAGAAGCTTATTTAGTATGAAGGCACCATTGTCGGGTACTCGAGCAGTAGCCAGACATTCAGCAAAAGCAGATGCAAAGGGTTCGGTGCCAAAAACTTCGGCATCATCGGAATATAGACGGAGTTGAGGGGTCCAGATTCGGACATGATTTGGACGCTGATGACCAGGCATGAAGTACCAGAGTATACAAAGTACAAGCTGTGTGCAGAGAGTTCAAGTCAAGACGGGATGGGGTACGCTAAGTACACGCCGTACACACGTGTTTAGAGTGAGGTATAAGAGTGGCTGTACACTCCTAACACACATGTCGCCAGCCAGGCGAGCACCAAGCATTATAGGTTACCAGAAAAAATATTGGACTACATAAGTATTAACTATTTACTGTACACTTACAATTTACAGGACTAGTAGCAGGTACGCAATAATACATTAAGAGGTCACTCGTGGGTGTACTTCGGTGTCTCACCTCGTACACGGGCCTGTCTTACCGGTGCTCGCTGCCTTCTTCATCTCTTTCTCCTTCCCAGTGCCCACCGCTTTCCTCGTCCTTGCCCTTGCCCTCGTCCTCGTCCTCGTCCGACTCAAACAGGCGTGTGCGCACCGATGTTGTGGACTTGGGCAGGGGCAAAGGGAAAGGGGAGGGCACGGCATGGGCAAGGCGAGCCTGGCGGGGTCGGTGGTATACGCTGGTGTCGGTGTGGCAGGGCTGGGGCTGGGACTGGGTGTGTCGACATACACCAGTGCCGCCTCACCCTCGCCCTTGCCCTTCGTGGTGGACGTGGACAGCAGCAGCGGCAGTGGCGGGGTGCTGACACCACAGGGACCGGGACCGGGAAGGGAAACACATGTATCCTGCCCACGACCGTGTCAATCGCGTGCGCGCTCGGGAGCGGGAGCTCGTCTGCCTCAGCGGGCTTGTCCATAAGGGAGACAGCTGGTGATGGTGGCGAGAGTGGTGGTGCAGTGAGCTCGTGCTTGACGGGCGGTGGAGGTGATACCGAAGGCGGAAGAAGAGGTGGGTGCACGACAGCCCACGCCGTGGGTGAGGGCGGGACGGACACGTCGACCAGCCTGTGGGATAGGTCGTGGTTGTGGGTGTACGGGTGGGAGAGGTTCATGAGCTCGAAGAAGATGAGCCGCGAAATTAGTGTTCGTTGCTCATGAGAAAGCAAAGCCTTCGCCTCCCCCTATGATGGCCAACAGAAATTGTTGTTGAAGCCTGAATGCAAGTCAGTTTGGTAAACGAGCACGACGATCAGGAAACCTACATGTGTGAGCCTGCGGTAGCCGGTCAGAATCGCCGTATGCACGGTGGATCGAGAACCTTCGCACGCCTTGTACGCCTTGAAGGTCTGTGAATCCTCCAAGCGGGACTTTGGACGTGCCAGTCGCGAAACTGAGAATTTTGGCTTGTTCATCACGATTGAAGGATTTGAGTGCACGCCACTACCACACGATGTTCGGATCTGAGTTTGTATACCCGTTGTACTCAGTCGCAGTTTGCCATTCATCAACATCGATATCTGGCGTTCCAGAAATCAAAAGTTCGAGCTCTTGTTCGTTGAACTAGGAGATCGTTGAACTAGGAGACGATGAATTGTGTAATATGGTAAACACAGATTCAACGTACGATCGTTATGAGCTCTTTCGGTATGATTTCGTAGAAACCGGTCGAAAGATTATCGGTTTGATCCTTGATGGACGAGTAAAGGCGATATTGAGCAGATAGCTGCACGAACTCTCTATTGTTTTTCTGTGTGACCGGCAAAGCATCATCGCCCTCTTTCAACGGGACGATGTGATTGACACCGAACTAATTTCGAGTCAGCCATACGATCAAGTTTAACGAAACACAACTCACTTCGTCTGCTTCAACCCTGAATGTGAGGTCTAAAGGAGTCGGGTCGTTCCCAAGGATCCAACAGAGCGAGCTGTAATACTCTGGGTCGACCCATTCCACGTCCTTGTAATCCACTGGCTTCTCCAACAACTGTCTGTACAAGCTCCGCGCGAAATAAGTATCTAGTAGCCGTCCATCGTATATGGCATTTCCTATCACCCGCCCCACGAACTTGAAGAACGAGAGATGTTCGGGATTGACCCAGGAGTTTTTGTTCGGCTGGTAGGTGAGTCTGTCCGCCGCACAAGGTTTGAACAAAGCATTGTTGTGATCAAACATCTGCCGGGCGAGGATCTGGAACCATTCTCGAGTTACACCACTCGCGTCCACGCCCTCCTCATCACAACAACCCCGTGCGCAGACGAGAAGGCGAAGACGAGGGCGCAAGCAGTGCCCCCCCCCCCGATCGTCCGAGTGCCCAAGCCAGCTCTGCGCGCGCGCCAGCAGCGCAGAGCATCTCCAGTGAAGCATTCCGTGGTGTGCGCTGGTGTTCTGCCGTGAGTGGAAGAACAATTTTTGAATACAAGACATCTTACATCATATGCAGACCGAGTTGGGTGGTGGGTCGCCAGGACGTCGACGTCACGGCGACGTCCTTCGTTAGGCATGTCGGCGTCGCCTGTGCACCGTGGCCGCGGAAACAGGCCGATGGTGCGGCGAGCGTGGCATCCCAACCCACCCGCACACTGCTCCGACTGGGTGATGTGACGGTGGGGAACGTCTCCAGGGAGGCGGAGCACGACGAGCTGTGGCGCTTCTCCAGAACCAGCCAAACGCAACGAGCTCCTGTGCTCGATCCCTCCTCTCTTCCCCACAAAACATGTCCCCCCCAAAAAAATCACAGGCTCCTCACCATACACCCCGCAAACACCAAATGGCTCGCCGTCCACATCGTCGGCAGCGGCACGGCACCCACTGCATCCGGCACCCTCATCCGCCGTCCTATCCGCCGTCCTATCTGCCGTCCTATTCGCCCCCCACCACCCACCCCTCCTTCGTTCGTCTTTTCCCAACCCATAAGCAAAACTGCATCCCACCCCGGCGTCGACGGGGCTGAGCCCAAGCCCGACAGATCCGAGCCCGACAGACTCGACGTCGATACGCCTCACAGTCTGCGAGTTGTGCAGCGCGTGCCCGTCGTGCTTGTCCGCCCTGCCCGCACCCGCCCCGCCCGCACCCGCCCCGCCCGCATAGGCGTCGGGGATGACGAACGGCAGCAGCGCGTTCGCCGCGAGCACGAGGAGCGTGCTGAAGAGCTGTGCTCGTGCGCTGAGGCGCGTGGGGGCATTTGCGTCCACATCGCACTAGGTACAGTAGGCACTTTTAAAAGAACCTTGTAACTACTGAACCGGGACTTTGTAATGTCCCATGCTAATCAGCAAGGTATCTCCAAAAGGGAATTGTAAAAGAAATAAAAGAAAGTCCATAGCGGGGATTGAACCAAAAACCTTTGCATGATGGCCATCATTCTGTCCATGGTATTAACCACTACACTATCATAGTTATAACAATCTGCTAGCCACATTAATCTATAGTCCATATGGAAATTCAGAATAAGCCTTGCACCACCCCTGTAGGGCCCTGGTTAGGGGTTAGGGTGGTTAGGGTTTGGGTTAGGGGTTAGAGTTAGGGGTTAGTGCCTTTGTCTTCAGGTGTATTTATTATTTTGGTTAGAGGTTAGGGTTGGTTAGGGTTGGTTAGTGTTAGTTAGAGTTAGTAGATATTATGAAACACATAATAAACAGTGACAAACAATATTCAAAGACCTAGGGCAGCTTGCCTGCCCTAGGTCTGGGTATTAGCAGTCCCAGGTAGGGTAAGCCTAGGCTTACCCTAGCTGGGGTAGCTTCCCAGCCTAATATCACTTGCATGGTGTAGTGGTAACAATGCTGGATAATAATATTATCTAGTGGTCACCAGTTCAATTCTAGTTTTGGGCATTTTTCCTGCTTTAAATTCCTTTTTAAAGGCTTTCACAGTTAGCATGGGACATTACAAAGTCCCGGTTCAGTAGTTAGCATGGTTCTTTTAAAAGTACTTACTGTACCAGCTGCACGTCGGCGCCTCCTCCTTGTGCTGCTCCGATCGTCGAGTTGAGCGGGGACGTGTGTGAGAGCAGCTGGACGCCGGGGTGGTGGCGCGCTGCTGTGCTGTTCTGATTGGTAGCAGCGGACGCGGCCCGCGCCATCGCAACGAGCAGCCGCACCACAGGCGGGTACGCTGCCACAGGCGGGTACGCTGTCGTCCTATTCACGATTTCAGCCGTGGATGAGGGGCGAACTCGTCGCTGATGTCGAGGTCGATGCAGAACGACAATAAGAAGCGACGGGCGGGAGGGAGACGCGCGTCGACGTCAGCGGGGAGTTGGGCAGCGATGCGAGCTCAGACTTGAGGAGCGACGGCGAGCGCGAGGAGGCGGGCGTCGGGGGGGTGGTAGGTGGAGGCGTTGTAAGGGTGGTAGTGTGCACTCGTGCTCACGCTCGTGCTCCGTCGTTGGACACCACTCGCGGGCGAGTCGGAGGCAATGGAGAGGGCGGAGAGGGCAGACGCAGCGGCCGACGCCGAGCGGGGAAGCGGGGACGGATATGCACGTGCGTCGGGCGACATTGTGCCGATCAGCGTTGGCAGTCCTGTCGACGAAGCACTGTACTCGGCATTGGTTTGCCCCGGGGTATTGGTGTTCGTGTCGATGTGCAGTCGCTGCTTGCGGCCGGGGGCAGACTGAGAGACGGATTGAGCTTTGGTGGATTCAAGTAAGATACGGTCTTCAATCCAGATGCGGATGTCTGCCTCCCCTCAAACGACGCAGAGCTGGGGTAAAAGGCAAAGGCATCCGAGTCGGGTTGGACCCGACTCTTCGGGTCTACACTGTTGAAGGAGACCTCGAGACGCTCGAGAAGGGCGGGCGTGAGGGAAGGGTAGCGCGCTGGGTTGCGGATAACATTCAATATGGGCAAGAAAAGAGATGATGCACTCACGATTGACAGGTGCGGGAGTGGCTACTTCTTGAATGGCGCGCTTCGTACGTCGTTTGTCGAACCACCCCCGGAGGGATGATTCCAACTACTCCCGCCGAGTGCAGACGCCAGGCGCGCCGCATTTGCGTCTTGGTCTTGCAGGTAGACGTCCATGATGTACATGTAGAAGAGCACGGGGAACCAGCCGAGCCAGGCGCTGTGGGTGGGTGGGGTAGTGTCGAGTCGTCTGTACGCACGGTGCGATGACTACGCAGAGGTGAACTCCGCGTAGTCGTCCTGGGCGCAGACGAGGGAGCCCGACTTTCGCGATACGCTCCAGCCTCCGCAATCCTGTGTGAGGGAAGAGTTTGAATGAAGCTGTCATCCTGATCGAGAAGTACGGCATGCTGAGGCTGCAATTTGAGCAGCGGAGGACTGTCCGGGGGAAGAGACGGGTAATGGAAGTAGGCTGTGTGCTGGGGACTCGGTGTTTGGGGACCTTGCCAATATTCGCCCGCAGGGGACATATTTGGCGGCGGGTATGGAAAGGCGTACATGCCGGGTACTATCATTGGATCGCAGGTGGTGACGGTCAAATCCTCCTGTCGCTCGTGTTCGCGCCTGGTTCCAGTTACAGAGTCGAAGCTAACGCTCCGACCGGCTACCCGACGCTGCCATATAAGGTTACGGTAAAATCTGCGAAAAGATTACAGTCAGCGGTTGTGGGACGCAAAAACCATGCCAGATTGGAAGAGGGAGTGGGTGTGGAGCGAGAAGTGGACGGGACGGCAGGAGAGAAAGGGGGATGAATGGGGCGAGGAGAGCATCGGAGGCGGGCAAGCAGAATGGCAGAAAGGTGGGGAGGCGAACAAGTGGGGAACGAAACGAAATGACGAGGCAGAAAGGCGGGGAGGCGAGCAAGTGGGTGGGGGAACGAAACGAAACAACGAGGACGGGGACAAGACTGTGCACAGGCTCGACGTCTCGAACCCCCGCATCCAGCACTTCGCCCGCTTGAGAGCATCGCTTCGACAACGGGTGGTATCATGGAGGAGGAAGGCGAAAGGGTGTAGATGGCGAGGAGGGAGAGGAGGGAGGGAGCGAGGAGGAGGGGAGAAACGGGGTAGAGTAGGAAGGGAGGAGGAGAATGAGGGAAGGCGACGTACCTATGTCCTCCACGATACAAGTGGTCATGTTCCTCCGTTCACCTCCACACCCTTCTCCCATCCTGGCGTGTGTCGAAGCGATGCTTGGTATGTAGCGTCCTCGACCGCACCTTCATCGAGCAGGAACGTGTAGTCGAGGCCCGTAGCGGCGGTGGTATGTGCATGAGACGTGACGAGGTGGTGGTGGTGGTAAGGGCGCAACGACTGATGGTGGTTGTGGCTGTGGCGTCTGGACCGAGGGCCTGTCAAAAACATTGAGGTGCAAACACACTCAGTGAAGTTGTCGAAGACGCGTCGAGGACGCGTCGGGTGTGACAGAAAATATAATCAGCCAATAATCAGACTGTCGCGAGAGACACGTTGTATCCACGGGGGTCGGTGGACAAACAGTGGCTTGAGGAGAGATTAGCACAACACATAGAAAGAAAAAAAGAGGAAGGATGTACTCACGATGACCGTCTGAGTCGAGATAGAAGTAGAATAGTTGTTGAGTAGAGATCGGGGAGACCTGGGTTGGCACAAGCATACCACGCGTGTCAATCCATAGGCTCTTTGGCGAACAATACTGCATGCACCCCAATGAGCCTGTGGGACAACGTGGTGGCACCAGACCAAGATCATCCGAGTTTGGCATAAATAAACAGACGCATTTTATACAACGCGTCGCATTGATGTCCACGTGACCGCAGTGCACGAGTTTCCCAAATAGGCACGTACAGGATAAATCCTGTTCGTGAATCATTCATCTTCTTTGCTGTAAGCTCAGTCGTTGACACTTGTGATATGGCCATGCCTTCAAATCCTGGGCCTCGCCGTCCCATGCCCATTCGCGGGTGTCCTGCTGTTTATTGTCGTTCCTGCCACCTTTACTCCTTTTTTGCTGTTGTGAATCTGGAGTGCTCAAAAGGGTCCGCTAGCTCTTACCCTTGCTTCCTGCTCTCTCCAGCTCCCACATCCTACCCGCTGCATTGTAACAACAGTTTCACTAGACGGGCTTGAGCTTCAAGGTCGGTCTACTGGGGGTGGTTCTGCTTCGGACGCTCAGTGCCATGTCTAGCATCCCTTGTGCCAATAGGTTTATCGTTTTCGCTGTTTTTCACCCTTCGCTTTGTTTTCTGTTCCTTAATTCCGCCGCCTTGGACCTGGCCCATATTTATCAGACATCTCCTCGTGCTTCTTTCGCTACCCGTATTTTCGAGACGCGCGATAAGTCCTCCAAGTGGCCCCAGTTCGCCGGATCGACACACCCTGATGGGGTGGTGTTAAGGGCTGATCGTCGCACCGTGATGAACCCAAACTTGACCCTTTCCGCGCCGTCCAATGACGTCCGTAACGGCAAACTGAACACCGTTTCCACTTCAGCTACTCCGCACGTCCAACAGCACCCGCAACTTGTCAGCCACCCGACGGAGGCTGGCGGCCGCGGTGGTGCCAATGCCGGTACCGGTTCAACGGTGCTCTATCATCACAATGGATCGCGTTATGGGCTTGGTCTCCCTGCGAGGACAAACTCTGGCGCCGGCAATAGTAAGATGAACGGTCTCTATGGCCCGAAGCACAAGCACGGCGATATGAATCGTGAATGTAAGGCTTCATTGTTGTTATAGGTCCACTCGTGCTTGCGATATTTCAGTCAACCGATTCGCGAGGATGCGCCTCGAGGATCTGCAAGGCGAGATTCCTGCACTGTGCAAGGACCAGCACGGCTGCTGGTACTTGCAGAAGAAGCTGGAAGAGGGCTCTGCCGAGCACAGGGATATGATTTTCATGAGACGTTCGGCCACTTCGCGGACCTCATGACTGGTATGCTCTACTGTTCATTCATCTTTTCTTTTGACGACTCAATCTATTCCTAGATCCTTTCGGCAACTATCTCTGCCAGAAGCTCTTAGAGTATCGCACACCGGCTAGTCCATATTATTGCGGAATACATGCTAATCAAAACTGTCTTTCGCTACTTCTAAGTACCAACTAAGAGTAACTTTTGCTCTTTCCAAGGTACCTACAGCGAGCTGTCTTAGTCGTTTCTCCTCTTCTCGGACTTCCTGGGGGGCATGGTCCTGGATGTTTTTGGCATTGACTTTTCCTAGTATCGCCAGACCGTTGAGCTCGTCTGCCCCACATTTAATCCTGGACAACATGACATAGGAAGCCGCTATGGACACACAACTTTCAAGATGAATAGTGGCAGCGTTCAGTGAACGACTTTGTGAGTTGTGTGCGGTGAAGCTGAATCCACCAATGAGAGGAAGCTGGTGACGAGTAGTGCTGTACATTTTCTTTCCCTTCGCTTTTTGGAATTGAATCGATTTGGAGATTCGCGGAACCCGTAGGCGATGAGGGTGCTCGGTGTTTGGATCTAGGGAAGTATAAAGAGGAAGGTCGACTTCAGCAGATATTGCATAACGATGGCCCTCTCGCACTTCATACTCAACACTGACCAAGGTTTCGCCACTGCCATTGGAGACACCGAGTTCAACAGCCATGTTATCCACGACAAAAATTGGCATGCCGATAACAAGGGCCAGCCGTCCACTGAGATCTTCGCCCAGTGCTTTAATGGGTGTATTCCATGCGTCTTCAGTGTTACGCCCGGTAAGGATGGTTTTATTCTTGCCACGGCCGACTGTATCCTCTGCATAATAGACAGCAAACTCCTGATTGGTGGCACCAGCAAATGACTGCGTCAGTAACCAGTTGTGGGTGTTCCGAACATGGTTGGTATATGTGATAAGAGGTGCACCATGGCCAGGAGGTTGTATCCACCGGAGTACATCTGAGAACTCGGGATCAACGCATGACCCAGGCGTTCCAATT